TGACGGTATGTTAAAACTTTTCCTACAAAATTTTGCTGTTTATGCATGCACGTATATCTCTTTTATAATAGTAAGAGCTTGGTACTTCTGTACAGTGACAATTAGGAGCTTGGAAGTTGTAGCTTCCGGTGGAAACCATCAGAATACTAAGCACGACAATCTACATTTCTCACATAGGATCTTACTGGATAATTGTAGGTGGAAGGGCTAAAATCGCTGACTTGTCCGAAAAGCGGTATATTGCGCAATATTCCATTGCTGTAACTAGGGTGGTTGTAGGATGCGGGTCAAAACTGCTTATCTGCATGAAGAGAAAAGGTTTGAATGATTTGGATTGCGAAATCGCCCATATAATTTACGTAATCAGATTCAAGATACCCAGTTCTCTCAAATTCGTATGCCTCCCGTAATCCCACAGAAAGGTCGTGGTAAGAGAATGATGAGTTTGTATTTGACGAATAGATTTCCTAGTAGGAACCCATGTAAGGAATTTGCGAGCTTCTCGCATTCTATGAAACTTAGCTGTCCATTAAGCTTTTACTTCACTTCAATTGCAAAACCGGAATCATGAGCTAAGCCAGGCACACGATCTTATGGATTGATACCTCTTTTTTCAGATGATATATAAAGAACTTCTTGTTTTTAGAAATTTTTTTGACTTTGGGAAAAATGCGCGAACCTAATCGCCATTCATCCATTTCTTACTTATTTACAGTACAAGCATCACAACTTTGAAGTGATCCTATTAAGAATGGATCGGAATATAAACTAATATATTTTATCATTAGGCTAGTAGTCTTTCTTTATTGTTCAGTTTAATTCACGAAGTAAATTGATAGATATGCCTCTCTGGCAGCAAACACCTTTTTGTGCAATTAATTTCCATGACTTTAGGTTTGGCCTCGCCTTCTTGGTGCTTATGAAATGAAAGAAGCGCGTCCGGATCTTTATTATCAACTTCTAATGAGAGCTCGACTGGTATCAAAGGATATCAAACAAATTGATCTCGATATAAACAGAACCTATAGAGACCATATCTCGTTTAGAAGACGTTATGATGTGAAGTGAGTTACGGTAATTGGATATAGAATTAATGTGGAAGTGTTACGATGATGACTTTGCTTTAGACAGCAATCTCTATTAAATGTTCTCGCCGCTTATTCTATGTATAATACAGAAGTTGGTTACTGCCAGGGTAAGTGATAGCCTTCGACTACTAGGGCAAAATGTTTATAAAACCAGAATAAACCTACTTTTTTGATGTTTAGGAATGAGCCAAATCGCCGCTCTCTTTTTAATGTATCTAGATGAAGAAGACACTTTTTGGTGTATACATGCGTTAATGGTGGGTAAAAAGCATACGATGCATGGTGAGTTCATGTTTTATTATTTGAAGGGATGTTCACGCATTGGATCACATTAAGCGATGATAGTCTCTTTCAGGATTCTTTGTTCCCGGTTTTCCAAAATTATCGCGTTTCGAGGCTCATTTCAAGAAGGTGCTCAAGAAGTATCGACCACGGGTATACAAGCATTTAGTGAGTGTTCCCACGTCCTTTTCTCCTTTCCAGACATTTCTAAACTACTTTTGAAAATTAATTTCCAAATTTATCAAGAAGCTGGATGTATTTGAACTGCTCAGAAGTAGGCCTTAATAATGCAACTGTTTTTAGGAAAAGAGTGACATTCCTTATATTTACCTCACCAAATGGTGGTTTGGATGTTTTCTTGATCGGGTACCGTTTTCATTAGCACTGAGGTGAGGTTTCAATTTCGAATTGTTAATAATATTTTCTTTTATTTTATCGTTATTTCAAAATCAATCTTTGTTGTATCGAAGTTACCGCGGCTATGGTTTTACCATAGGCTCGTCCTACATTTGGCTTGTTTCGGCTTATCCAGTGACAAGGATTTCACATCGTCAAACTTGTTATTGATGAAATTGACGTAATCTAAGCTTGCTTTCAATATTAAAATAAAGAACTTTAAATACTCTTGGAGATCGAAGAATTGTGTGTCAGTCATTCGGACAAATTTTCTCTAAACTACGCATAAAAATAGGCATACTGGGACTCCTCGGGCCTAGGCATCTCAATATTTGCGATGCGCAATTGATCCTGTCCCTGACATAATGCTTAGTGCATCTGCTATCAGTAGAGCCATTTCCAGTAGAGGACGTTTTTTGGACACGTTTTTGATTTTTAAGGATTTTGATGTTTTAATCATTGTTCACTTGACAAGGGTATTTTGACTCGATGATACAGGCCTTATCTGATTTTCTTTTTAGCAGTTTTCATCACGAGCGTAACGTATATCTTACAACCTCAGTTCTTCGCAATTTCTCGTGTCTTTAGTCTAATTATCAATGCATTTT